TATGGCCAAGGACAAAAGAAAACTTCCCATGAGTGCATCACACTCTACAATACCTTAAGTATATAACTCTGGGAGGCCGAGGAGGGTGGATTGCTTGAGATCAGGAGTTCGAAACCAGCCTGGGCAAGAGCAAGACCTGTCTCTACTATAAATGAAAGAAATGAATTGGCCAACTATATATATAGAAAAAATAGCCAGGCATGGTGGCACATGCCTGTAGTCCAGTACTCGGGAGGCTGAGGCAGCAGGATTGCTTGAGCCAGGGTTTGAGGTTGCTGTGAGCTAGGCTGACGCCACGCACTCACTCTAGCCTGGGCAACAAAGCGAGACTCTGTCTCAAAAAAAAAAAAGAATATAATGTTAGTTAGTGAACAGGAGCTCAAGGACAGATTGGCAAACAACAGTATGAGATAGAAGGAAATCTGTGACCTGAGGAAAGGATTGAAGATCAAACTAGACATTACAAAAGTAATCAATAATTAAAGCAACAAAGCTTAAATAGAAAGTAGAGAGGCACGAGTAGAAGCAAGAAGGACAGCGATGAGGATATCCCACAGGCTAGAGATGATGGCAGCGTGGGTACAATGGCCACGATGGGATTATGGATAGAATCCTGAAACTGGGGGAAAAGGTGGCATTAGTGGAAAACTGGCAAAATTTGAATAATGTCTTTATAATAGTTATGTGCTAATGTCACCATTCCTGGTTTCATAACTGTACCGTGGTGGTTATGTGAGATGTCATATTAGGGAACCTGTGAAGGATACAGAAACTGTACTACTTTGCAAGTTTTCTGTACGAACGAGTTAATTCAAAATAAACGTTTTTAAAGAAGAGCCATCAGGATGTGATGATGTATCGAATGTAGGGTATCTCTCTTAGAGATAGTCAAAATTGCCTCAAAGGTTCTTTCCTGCACAAATGAACCAAGAATCTCTGAGGGTAGGATCTGGCCCTGTATTTTATATTTTTAAATAGTCGAGGTGGAGGACTAGTCTCCGTACTTCTCTCTGATGAGGAGCCAATGCATTAGCTCATTTAATTCAGCGTACACCTCTGCAATGGATATTTTTTACATTTCCATTTTACAGATGGAAAATTGAGGATCTCCCATCCAAGTACTAACCAGGCCCACCCTGCTGAGCTTGCGAGATCAGACGAGATCGGGTACATTCAGGGTGTGTGCCAAAGATGAAAATTGAGGATCTCAGAGGCTAAATGATTTGGTGTTCCACAGTCAAACAGCCAGTAAATGTCACTATAAGTCACACCTTCTGACGCCAAATTCATTCTCCAACTGCTGAGTGAAAGCGCAAGTGGACCATAAGGAGCATTGGAGAAAAGACATTCTTCCAACTCACACTGCCCACTGGTTCTGTGCACCCTGGGGATTTAGGATTACAGACGGGAGTCAATCAGGGCCTTGCCTATGTGTCCCCTGTAGGACCACCTCTGCACGTGTGTCCGGCCACTGTGCCCCTTGCTGGCTGGAATGGGTCCTGGGCACAGCAGAAGGAACCCAGCTCACTCACAGCAAGTCAGGGAAACCTCTCAGCCCAGAGCAGGAGGTGAGCACCTCTTATCTGACCCCAGGTTCTTTTACTCCGTGTGGACTTTGCCAGTTGGGGCACTTGCCCTTGGTCCTCCAGAGCCTACCTTCTCCTGCTTTCCTCCTCCCCTAGGCTCTGTGCTCATCTCCCAACCTGTGAAGGAGTCCTTTCCTCAGGCTAGACTGCTCTCAGCTCATTTTGTAATTCTGACTTATCATTAAGCTAACGAGACTCCTTCTCCAAATCTGGAGTGAAAGGAAGGTGCCGAGGGGCACCACTGAGGGAGAAGGCTCCGAGCAGCCTGCCTTTGGATTCTGGAAACACAAACAGAACGCCTGTTGGAGTGGAGGCACCTTGCCGGCAAGCAGCTTAGAACTAGTAGAAGAGCAAATTAGTAAAGTGGTGATCAAAGGCAAAGGGATGCAAGTCTTGCTAAAAGTGGACATGGCTGTCCTGGGTGACAGAGGAAGGGAGCAGACACACACAGTGGGGAGTTTCTGAGCCGAGTGCAGAAAGCTTGAGGGAGGGCTGACGGGCACTGGCACAGCCTTGGAGGAGAAGAGCCCAAGCCCAGGATTTGCCTCACTTTAGGACTCTGAGAAGGCGGTATGGCCTGTGGGCGGGTGAGAAGCCGGGTGGGGGATGAAGCTGGAAAGGGCAGGGCTGGTCTGGAAGGAAGGAGCCCTCAAGGTCTTTGAGGGAGACAGCCAACACAGGTGTAGGTTTATAAGGTGCACCTGGCTGCTGCCTGGGGCGACACAAGGTTTAGCAATGCCCCTTCTGTGGTCTCAGGAGGGATCCTGAGGGCCAACACAGGAGGTGGGTGTGTGTGCCGGATCTGAGAGAGGACATGGAACTGGCAGCTAAATAAAATTTGGAGGAGACAGAAGGAAATATGCGGAGGAGATGGAAGGGCGATGGGCTTCACCAAGATGGCGACTTCACTTGGAGAAGAAGCGTGCTTCAGGGAAAAGAGCAGTGTTTCAGTGTGAGACCTGTTGGCCAGGGCAGTTTGACTGTTGTGGGCACGGAAGTGGACTGTCCAGTGGGCAGCTGGATGTTTGAGGCTTTGGAGCAGAAGAGGGTGAGAACCAGAGTGAGAGCAGGGCTAGAAACATAGAGGAAGGCGCAGTCCGCACTCAGCTGGTGACTTCAGACAGGGGAGCAGGATGGAAATCACCCTGGAGACTAGGCAAGGAGGGCAGACAGCCAACTCCAGAGCCCTGTGACAAAAAATTTAGGGCAAGGAAATGAAGCCCACAAAGAGTATTGAGAAGGAGCAGGCAGAGAGTGGAGAGGACAGCTCTGGGAGCCCAGTGGGCCACACATGCCCCAGAGCCTCAAAGATAAGGAATGAAGATAAACGACTTGATTTGGTCACTGGGAGGTCAGGGGTCATTGGCTCCTTGGGAGAACAGTTTCGTTGCAGTGTGAGAGGCAGAGGAGGGGCCGCCAAGGTGGGAGTGTGCTCATTTCGTTCTGGAGAGTAGTCAGCCGTGGGAGTGTGGATACCGTAGCTCGGAGAGTCAGGAGCAGCCCGTGAGGACCAGAGTGGCCAACAGTATGAGTGGCACACAATGGTGACCAGGTGGCAGGGTTTAAGAGGGAGGAGCAGATGACTTGAAAGACCTTGGTGACACCAAATGTGGACAGCAGAAGAAGGAGGACGCCCCGGGTCTCAGCTCAGCAGCCAGCCAGCGCCAGTGCAGGTTCTGGGTCAGACTGTGGCGCCTGGGAGCCATGTGAATTACAGAAAGTTGTTTAACTTCTTAAGCTTCATTTTCTTCTTTTGTAAAATGAAAAAGGTGCGACTATGGCCTGAGATTGTTGTGAACATTAAAATGAGAACCCTTCACAAAATTATAATTGTGGCCGCTCGGGCCAAAATCTTGTAGTCACCCTTGACTTTTCTCTCTCCCACAAACCACAATCTGGAGGCACATGCTGCCTGCTGGACCCTCCAAATACCACATCCCCTGATTCTGAACACTTCTCACCATCCCCACCCTGGTCCCTGTCACTCTACCTCTCAGCCGGCTCACTGCTGTGGCTTCCTAAGGGTCCCCTGACTTCTCCCTTTGCCTCCCACAAGTCTCCAAGCTAATCGTGCTCAGGGTAGAAGGCAAGTCCTGGCAGGGCAGCAGGGCCTTGCAGCCTCCCACCCACCTTTGTCTTCCCTCTGAGCTTACGCCCCCCAATCCTCACCCACACTTCCAGGCCACCCCCAGACTGACTTCAGCCCCTGGCCAGCCTCCTGCACACCCAACCCCCTCTCCTGTGTGTTTTAGTTAAATTTTAAAATTGTCTTCCAAGTGTAAACTTTATAAAGGGCAGGCAATTTTTGCCTCCCTTTTGTCACTGCTGTGTTCCCAGCCCCTAGGACAATGGCTAGCTCTGGTGGGCGCTGCATAAACATACACAGCCTGAATATCCCTCATCAGAATGCTTGGACCAGAAGTGTTTTTGACTTGGATTTTTGGATTTTGGAATATTTGCATATGGTTGAGCATCCCTAGTCTGAAAATCCAAAATCAGAAATGCTCCAATGACCATTTCTTCTTTTTATTTTTAAAAATGTTTTTACATATTTTTACTTCCCTAAAATCCAACTACAAAAAGAAGATGAGCATTTCTTTTGAGCATCATGTCTGTGCTCAAAAAGTTTTGGATTTTGGAGCATTTGGGATTTCAGATTTTGGATTAGGTTGCTCAACGTTTATTGTTGAATGTCTGCTGGGAAGATGAGGACCTAAGTTTTATGCCTCCCAGTTTCCTCAATTGCGGATTTGGGGTGTTAACCCGACTGGCTTCTCGGGTTGTTCCGCAAGATGCTAGACCAAGAGCTGCGCACAGCCAAGCCCGCAGAGCTCTCGTCCCGGGGAGGGTGGTGGTGGTGTGTGGGGATCGGCGAGGGAGCCGCGCCGCGCCGGGTCCCGGCTGCGGAGGCGCCCCGCGCGCCCTCCCCCGCCCGCCCGCCCCGGGCGCCGGGAGGACGAGGCGGCGCCTGGAGCCGGGAGAGCGCGGCGCGGCGCCACGACACAAAGGGCGGCCGGCGGACGGGCGGCCCGCGCGCGGCGGAGGGACGCGCACTGCCCAGGTGAGCGCGCGCGGCCGGGCGGCCGGAGGCGGCGCGCCTCTCGCGGGCCGTGCCCGGCGGCGGGGCGCCGAGGTCCCGGCCCCGCGACTGCGCGTAGTTGAGGTGGGGCGCTGCTCCCGCGCCCGCCCCGCCGCCGCCACCCGGCCTCCAGACCCCTCCGGGGCGCGGTCCGGCTTCTCGGGTTGGGGCGGAGGCTCGGTAAGTCTAACGCAGCGTCCTGCTTTCCGTCACCCGCGGCGGCGGGTGGGTGGTCGCCCCTCTCACGCGGCGTACTCGTCGGAGCCTGACCTACCTTCAGGAACCAGGTCTTAACCGACGGCGACGGCTTCCGCGGCGCCGCGCGCTTCGGACGGCCCCTTCGCTGACTGGACCGTAAACTCCGGGCGTGCGGCCCCTGTCGGCCCGAGGGCTGCGGTTCCTGCTGTAACCAGGGGTTACCCGGGGTCGGGGGCGCGACCGGACCGCCCGGGGTGTCCGCGGCGTGACTGTCCCCCGCTCCGGGTCCCCCGCTGCCAAGTCCCGCCTTCACCTGCCGCCGTGGTCTGCAGGACCGCGCGCACCTTTCCCGGCGCTGCCGCTGGCGTCGAGTGTTCTCGCAGGATTCCCTCCTGCAAATGCGGTTGCGTCCCGCTGCGGAGCACTCGCCGGCTTCCTGTTGTTGTATTTTGTTGAGCCGAGTTTGCACTTGGGAAGATCCTTTGAAACGGGGACAGCACTCTCGGGGCGGAGAAGTCTGTTGCGAGTCTTATCTGTGGAACTAGTTTTGCAGAATCCCGCCTTTCCTCCCGCTAGTGCGCGCAGTGCACATCCCACGTGGGAGGCTGTCTTATCTTCCGGGTGTACCAGGCGCACAAGTCGTGCCCTTGTATCAATGCCCCATTGCTAGAAGCTCCGTGTAGGGCTGTGTGTTTCTGCACGGCGGGCGTGAAGAAGGGTCGCTTGGTTTCTTTCTGCTCCGCAAGACTGACGCCAAGCTTTGGAACCGGGGAGGAGGTCCAGGGAAGACCGGTCAACTGGAGGGGCCTTGGGGTAGGTCAAGCGGTGCTGGAGGTCAGTATCGGGAGGGATTGGAGTGACGGTGAGTGTCTTCTTAAGCCTTTGCTGTGACTTCCAGGTTTTTCACTTTGGATTTATAATACTTTTAAAAGCAGAACAATTTTTAGAAGTTGATGGTTAATACAGGTCTGTTAAACAGAACACTAAGTCAGCAGCAGCCTAGAAGTTTTATGAACTGTGTGCAAGAATGTGTGATATTAAAAGGACAATTCTCAGGCTGTTAGGGAAGCAGTCTACTTATCCCTCCTGTCCCTTTTCCGTTTGATCGTATGCATCATTTATTAATGGGTTAAACTATTACAGACTGATCTGGTCTCTATTGGCAAATAAAAGCGGGATGTGTGTGTTTATATAAAGTTCAGGTTTAATAAAAAATTAGAGGATGATAGCTGTTTTTGCAGAATGAGAAAGTGACAAGCCTTCTCCAAGGCACTTGAACTTTACATAACATTTAACCCCATCAGATTACAGAACACTTTATGGAGGAAAAGTTAGGATTTAAAAAAATTAATTAAGGAGTTTATATGAACTTTGATGGAAACCTGTTTTTGTCTAACTCTTATTTACCACCATACAATGTGATTTGTAGAGCTGCTCAGAGGTGGATGGACTAACATGGTCATTTGCTAACGGCATGTTGAAATCCATTGGTGTGTCCTTTGTTCTGCATCCTAACCACTTTGGTACCAGCGTCGACTATGGTGGATAGCCACAGATGAACGCACACAGCAACTTTAACCAACAGCTGTGATGTGAAGGCACACAGCCTAGCGTCGACTTTAGCCGACAGCCGTGATATGACTTTTCTATTTTTCATTTATCAAAATAAAATTGTGAACATTTAAAAATAATGTAGTGAAAACATATGTGTGTATGTTACCTATTCTGATTTACATTATAAGTAAAGCTGCCTGTAAAGTAAAACAAGCTTTCAGTGCTTTAAAGCTTTCCTCATCACACAAGAGCAACACATCGTCAATGCACAACACAAACTCTCATGTGGACTGTGAGTGCCGGCTGTGGGCCAGGTGTCACGGCCGGTAAACGCCGTCCCCGAAGTGTTTAAGTATGTTTGATGGTGGAAAATAGAATAACAAGAGTGGCAGTGTTCTAACTGTAAGTGTCCAGACCTTCTCCTTTTATGGTGAGTGGCTTTAGATGCTGGTTGGTGGATGATTCTTTTAAAATTTTTTAAAGATGGCACATGTGACATTTGAGACTTAGGGCATGTGAGGATTCCCTTTGAGCACCTTCTTTCTACCTTGGCTTTTGCTATGAGCAAGTGGCTGCTAGATATGTCTCTTCTTCCCTGACTCAAGAAAGATTTGGAAGCAGGAGGCAAGAACAGAAGGAGTATCCTGGCCTCACACCTGAACTGAAATTTTCAGAGGGGGAGTCAGGAAAGTGGAGAGACTCCCTGGTTGGAGAGATAGTGTCATCCAGCCTGGAAGGGCATTTCCAGCTGTGTGGCCACTTTGCTGTTCAATTCCTTGGTCATTCCATACAGAGTTGGGCAGCAGTGGCCATAACTGAACTCCAGGTTTGACTTTAGCTTAGTCCTTGGATTCAAGTACAAATTAGAAATTCAGGCTCAAGGGCAGAGATTTGGTTAACCACAAGCAGGAAGCCAAAACTTTGGGTCAGACTCTGCCTGGAGCAATTTGGAAGTAGGCTTTCCTTCCCAATCCTTGAGCCTCCTGTATTCTGACTGTTGTTTGTAAATCCACAGGGGTCTTTTATGGGACAGAGGAGTCCTTAGGAGCATGGCTTGTATTTTGATCCTCTTATGCATCTGGTGCTGCCTGGTTGTACTTTCCTCCCTCTCAATCTGTGTTGTCCTTCTTCAGACTTCAGAATGATAGTGGTGACCCCCAAGTGAAGCTTCTTCTTTCCTTAAGACTGGTGTATAGTCTGCCTTGAGTTAAAATCATTTGTTCCTTTCTCAAATAAACCAAAGCCCTCCAGGTACTTCTGATGCCCTCATGTTTGAGAAGCTCTGGTTTGTATCAGTTTTTGCTCATTGATTGCTATTTCGTATCTCATAATAGGAAACTGGCAGGTTATTTGGTAATGTGGCACATCTTATAATCCGGTTACCTTATTTTGGGATCTACTTCGTTGAGTGAGTAATGATTTTGGTTAGTTAGAGTTTCCCAGCGTGGTCATCATTTATTGCTGTTAAAGATCTGAGGGGAAATCATTCTTCAAAATCACTAGATTTGTAAGTTTCCGCTAGAGAATTTTACATTTGTAGGTGTGTATCAGTTAGGATGTTTTAGCTGCCAATGATGGAAAACCCAAGTCTGGGTTTAAACAAGCAGGGAGGTCCCAGAAGAAAAGTCCAGGCCTTCAGTACGGGCTGCTCCAGGCTTGAACTAGCCTTTGGAGACCCAGGTGGCTTCTTGTCTGTACGCAGCGTCTCACATCTCCTGGGACAGAGGGGTTGGTTTCCGTGGCTCTCTCAAGAAGGAGGAGTAACACCGGTGCCTCCATCCAGGTTGGGTGGAGTCTCCGGCAGAGTCACGGGCCATTTCAATCAGTCCCACAGATGTGGGGCAGGCACTTGCCTGGTGGCGTTTGTTGGGGGGAGGGCAGGCTTTAGGTGCCCGTCTGTGTGTGCTGGTTGTGGCTGTCAGAAATTGAGCCCAGGTCTCTTGGTGTTTTGTTTTAAAATTCTGAATGAGCATTCAGTATGTGCCAGGCACTGTTCTCAGTGCTTTCAGTAAATTCTTTCATGAAGTGCTCACAGCAGTCTGCTGGGTGGGGGCGTGCTGCTGCCCCCATCTCGCAGACAGGGAGCTGGAGGGTCAGAGGGGTTAATAACACGCCCAAGGTCACATGGAGGTCAGGGGTGCCCTGGTCCAGACAGACTCTCTGCAGATTCCACACCCCCCACTACGATGTGGGATCTCTCAGCACGGTGGGGTTTCCACCAGGCAGGGGACTCACTGCCTCAGAGCCACTAGATGATTTCTTTACCTTAGAAAGAAAATCGTGTGTTTTCAGTGTGGTAATCAACTATGATTAATGAGATCCCATTTGCACATGCAAGGCAAGGAGCAATAAGGTAATTGTTAATTCAAACTCCAATTTTATTTTGTTTGTTTTATTTTATTTTTTATGGGATGCTATTTGTTTGTTTTTGCTTATGCTTCACTGCTCATTCAAATTTTATTTTTAAGCAAGAGTATTGATGACTTAATGAATTGTCCTTAGCTTGTCGTGGGCTTTGTGTGTGCATACCTGCCCACAGAAATACCATTTTGGAGATGAGTCTGCTGCTGGGATCAGGATGGTGACAAGTCCTGAGCCTCTGCCAGCCCATCTTCCTTGGGGTCCCAGATAGCATCAAACCATAGACAAGAGAACCAACCTCAAACAGTATAATGAAACATTTACTGATGATAGTTTTAGTTATAAGGGCAAGGGAATATAATAAATGATTATACATTATTTAAAAATCAACAGGGAATCTGCTCAGTCTAGACTCAATGAGGTGGTGTCACAACCTCGGGAGAGCTCCTTGTATCCAGAATGCCTCTACGTGCCGTGTACTCAGGTGGCCCAAGGAGGGACTGCGCATGTGGCCCAAGGAGGGACTGCGCATGTGGCCTTGGGGCTTCCAGCTGTGTTCCTAGAGGAGTGCAAAACGAGGCAGACAAAAATGGGCAGCACACCAGTCCCCCAACGTGGGAGAGATGACAGGACCTTGAACAGCTGCTGGGATGCGTGTGAAGCTGAGGACGCCCTGTCTGTGATAACCAGGAGGGTGGTGCCTTCCGCCCCAGGATTCCTGAGGGAGGCTGCCGCTTGGCCACTTAGCTCCCTGGATTCAGGTGACCTTTTTCTGCTCTCCATGGATTTAAATGAAGAGAAGTAACAGGTTGAGTTTCTCTCTCTGACTCTAGTCAGGGTCAGAAATATGGGTGCCTGATTTCTGAACCCCACAGTCTATGATGCTGGCATAGGTACTGGTCATTTCATTTCTGGAAGTGCTGCTCAGGAAACTGCCTCCAGCGGGGTGTTTGCAGGTGTCGTGACTGAAGCGGACACGGTCCACAGCCTACATAATTCAAGACCAGCCAGGCCTGTCGCTCTGGCAAAGTCTAAAAACACAGTTGATGGTTGTATGTTGCCATGTGGCTTTAAAATGAAGCAATTCATGATATATTTTAAATTCTTATTGAATTTTCATTATTTCCAACTGTACAGGTAAATTGAGACTCTGATATTTGTAGATTTTACCACTTAAAATGCACATCAAAGGTGACTGTCCTGCTGTGGACAGACAGCACCTTAACCAGGTGACCACCGTGAGGCAGCAGGGCCTCTTGATGAGATGCACTGCGGAGGACACAGCTCACCCCAGGGTGTTCCTGCCAGCTCTGCTGTCACCCTCCTGGATCTAATTGTGTAGAGACACCAGACAGACTCTGTGGGACATTCTATTAATACAAAATACCTGGCCTGTATACTCTTATAAAATTCCAAGGTTAGAAACATGAAGAAAGACCGAGGAACTGTTCCCATGTAAAGGAGACCACAGGGACAGGACAGCTGCATACAGTGCTCGACCCTGGATTGGCACCTGGACTGGGTTGAAGAGGTGGCTGTCCTGGACACTGTTGGAACGGTGGATGACATTCGAATGTGAGGGGTGGGTTAGATGATAGTATTGTATCAAATTTCCCAGGTTTGATCATTGTACTATGACTGTCTCCTTGAGTTTGGTAAATACATATTGAAGTATTTAGGAATACAAGGGTATAGTCTGCCATTAATCTCAAAGATGGAATGGGGGAGAGAGAGAAAATGATAAAATGGGCAAAGTGAAAACAGTTGATGAAGCCAGCCGGGTAAGGAGGTATTAAGAATTCTTTGTATTTTTACAGTTTTCAGTGCTTTCTTTGGTTTGTTTTATTATAGGGTCTTGCTCTGTCACCCAGGCTAGAGTGCAGTGGCATGATCCTAGCTCGCTGCAGCCTCGAACTCCTGGGCTCAAGCAATACCTTAGCCCCCCCAAGTTGCTAGGATTGCAGGCATGAGTCACTGTACCCAGCTGACAGAAGTTTTTGTTTTTTGTCATTTGTCTTAGAAGCGGTGGCATCTTGGATTTGACGGTACTTTTCTCCGGCTCCATTGTCCGAAGAGGTGGGAAAAAAGAAGACTGTCTTTTTAGTAACTTAGTGTATGAGTTTTTTACTCCTCATGCTCATGTCTGCACTCCAGACCAGATACTGCCTGGCTCAGTTCCTTGGGCCTGGTAGATATTTCAGACTCAGCATTTTCCAGACTGAATTCCTGTCTTCACCTCCACCACCCCAACCTACTCTTACGCTGTGTTTCATGCTCTGGGGCAGACTGGTTTTTAGGCAGCGATGGTGCAGAATGTCCAGTGGGAGGCCCGTAGGGACCTGTCCAGGAGGGAAGACCAGGATGCTGCCCTTAAAGTGGAGCATGCACAAGGGAGATGGGGTGGGTGCGCCTTGGTGCAGGTACTAGTTTGAGCTCTGCTTATTTCCTGATATGACTTTGGGATCCAGATGTCTGTGCTTCATTTTCCTCATTTGTCAAGTGAGAATGGTTATCCCAAGTCAGTTAACGAACAAGGCAACTTAGGGTGCTGTAAAGTTCTGAAATTCTGTGAGTTCAAGTAGGAGAATCTTTGAAAAAAATCGTTTATACTGGAGTCAAACAATGGATGTACACTAAGCGACTAGCTCTGAGCCCAGGTGTCAGAGAAGGACAGGCGTGGTTAGCTTCTCTACTTCCTGACTCCCAGCACTTCCTCCCAATTTCTTCCCCGTACTGGTGCCAGCTTCTGAGTGGTTTTTACTCTGAATGCTTGCAAGGAATTTATTCCTTACCAGCACTAACAGGTACATTGTATAGAAAGTCCAGTGGCCTGATCGCTCTGGGGCTCCATCTGCTGCAAGGTCCCAAGTCACTGCAGAGTTGGAAACTTGTCAGGTCTCTTGAGACCTTGAGTCCTATGTAGTTCTGTTTGACTCAGGGGAAACTTTGCATCAGCCCAAGATTGTAACATTTTATTTTATTTTATTTTATTTTGTTTGGCATGGACTTCAAGTAGTTGCAATAGCAAAATACAGTGGTTTCCCCGTGGCCTGGTTTCTTGGGTCTGCGTTTAGGATGACTAACTCTTGGCAATTCAGAATTCACTTTGAGTTGTTGGTGTTGACACTGACCTTCACAGCAGGCTCAGTCTTTAGAAGTGGAGACCCAAAATATTTAGTCCTCCAATCAGATTCTCTGGACTTTTAAATATGTGTAAAGAGCAAAGGAGAGCAGCAGTGTTTGTTGTGCCTTTAGGCTCATTGTGTGGCTGGAATTTCAGATATGAAGGTTGGAATAATCTAGAGTAGAGGGGTAAATTGTTCTTAGGGTTTTCCAAGATAGGTTTTATAGGCTGTGTTAGTTTCTTAAACTCTTATTGTCTTTATATCCAATCTGAAACAAGAAAGGTTATACCCGATCTGCTGAAGAGAAAGCGTCCCACTGTTGTATAATAGCTGAATAGAAGAATGGATGGGGACATGGAATGTTTGGTTGAAGTATTGCTTTTTAATTTGGGGGTGTATTCAAGTTAATGTTCTTTCCTTAAAATCAGGTTTACTGATGCAGATTTTTCCATGACATTGGGGCTTTCTGGTTTGGTTTAGAGCTGGAAGAGATATTTTCCCATATATTCTGAATATTAAATTCCTGCACTTAACTTCATAGAAAATCTTTTTTAAAAATGTTCAAAACAACTTTATATGTTTATTTATTTATTTATTTTTGAGACAGAGTCTCACTCTGTTGCCCAGACTAGAGTGCCGTGGCGTCAGCCTAGCTCACAGCAACCTCAAACTCCTGGGCTCAGGCGATCCTGCCTCAGCCTCCTGAGTAGCTGGGACTACAGGCATGCGCCACCATGCCCAGCTAATTTTTTTTCTATATATTTTTAGTTGGCCAATTAATTTCTATTTTTTTTTTTTAGTAGAAATGGAGTCTTGCTCTTAGGCTGGTTTCAAACTCCTGACCTTGAGTGATCCACCCGCCTGGGCCTCCCAGAGTGCTAGGATTATAGGCGTGAGCCACCATGCCCAGCCTAAAACAACTTTATATGTTTGTATGCTATTAATAGGCATGAGGCAGTATGTAAGGGTTGGCGTTCCAACTCTAGAGTTAGACTTCATTAAGTTGGAGTTAGACCAAGGTTGTGACTTTGGGCTTAGCCTTTCTTTTACTTAGCCTTTTTGTACCTCAATTTTCTCACCTGTAAAATAGGGGTAATAATAGTGCCTTGTTCACAAGGCTAAATTCCTAAGTGCTTAGGAATGTGCCCATTACATGACGAGTGCTTAGCAATATTAGTTTTATATTATTCGAAGGATTATTAGTTGGCTGGGCGCGTTGGCTCATGCCTATAATCCTAGCACTCTGGGAGGCCGAGGCGGGCGGATTGCTTGAGGTCAGGAGTTCGAAACCAGCCAGAACAAGAGCAAGACCCTGTCTCTACTATAAATAGAAAGAAATTAATTGGCCAACTAATAATATATATAGAAAAAATTAGCCGGGCATGGTGGCACATGCCTGTAGTCCCAGCTACTTGGGAAGCTGAGGCAGTAGGATTGCTTGAGCCCAGGAGTTTGAGGTTGCTGTGAGCTAGGCTGACGCCAGGGCACTCACTCTAGCCTGGACAACAGAGTGAGACTATCTGAAAAAAAAAAAAAAAAGTTATAAACTTGGGTAACTTAAAGGAATACGCTATATTGACCAAGACCTTGTCATGACCCTCCATGTGTCCTCATGTCCTCTGGTGTGTACACTGGTATCTTGCAGAGTTGAAAACTGTGTGCTGGAACTTCTGCTTTGTTCTACTAATATTTGTACTTTTAATAGACAAGTGTTTGTGTGTTGATGCAATTCATGTGCTTGCTGGCTCTGACCGCTGTTGGAAATGCATATGCCATGATGTGCTGTTTCCCTTTTGTTAGGCTTTTGCTTTTTTTCGGAACAAAAGGAACTTTTAAAGTATCATCCTATGAAGAGTTTCCAAGTTTTCCTCCTTTTTGAATATGAAATATCTGTATCCTCCTTTCCTGGAGTCCCATCACTGTGTATTCAGGTTGCTGGTGGGCTGGGAGTGCAGTGGGGTCTCTGATCAGGACTTCCCTGCTGGCTCATCTGCCATTTGTTCCTTCGAGATGCACTGGAGGGTCTGGGCTGGCCTGGCTCACACAGGCCCACTCAGTGGCCCCAGTGCCAGATATGGAATCATCTAACCATGCCCACCATGAAACAGGGGGAAGCCCTTTCTCAAGTTGTTGTAATTTGTGTTTCCTTAATGTTGGCAATACTGGGTCTATGAAACATGTGCTTATTTGTTATAATGAAAAGCTGGATTATGCCCTTGGGCATTCAGCCTCTCTTTTTCTGGATGTCTGGATGTGGTTCTTCAGGAGTGAAGAGCAGTAATGTTTTTTCACGGTAGTAGCATCCGCTTGCCCTGCATCTCAGACATTTTGGAAAAGAAATAAAAAGTTAGTGTCTGTATGAATTCTCCTCTGGACTCCCCAGCTTCGCTAGAGAATCAGATGCTCCAGCTGGCTAACTGGGGAAGCTCTGGGTGGTTCTGTGACCAGTCATGACATTTCCATGACAATAAGGGTAGTGGGGCTCATGTTGTCACCCAGCTGCATTCAGGAGGACGGTCTTTATGCCCCTGCTTCCCCTGCCTTCCTGCTTGCTCCAGCACAAGTCTGTGCCTGCTGATTCAAAGGCGGAATCTAGGTTACCAGCCCTTGTCCTCTCAGGTGTCTGTCTCACAACATATCTGCACCCACATCTCTCTAAGGAGGAGGTGACCTGCTCACCTCCACTTAATGAGCGGTCCTGTCTTCCCGGGCTCTGAGGCCAACCCTGGCGTCATGCTGCCATTGGACAGTTATCACTTCCCGCGCCAGCATTCCACCCTGTTGCTGCCCCCCCTGAGTGCCTCGCAGCCCTTTTGGGAAACTGACTGTTACAGACCCTCTGGGGTAAATGTAAATCATTTTGTTTAATAAAACTATGTATAAACTCCTTAGCATGTATAAACCTGCAGCAGGATAATTTATTGAAACTTAATATGTGTTTTATTCTCTTTTTTCCCATTCCGAGACAGCAGCCTAGATCCTTGTGTTCCCTTGCTTCCAGGGGCTCATGTTACAAGGTTGAAAGCAGAAGTTTCTAGAAGATGATCTCCCTCCCTTTAAAAAAATTGCCCACACTAAAACTGACTTACATGTGCATGTGTGTGTACAATTCTAAGAGTTGTAGCATGGGTATAGATTTGCATAACTGTCACCACGGTGAGAATTTAGAGTGGTTCCCCTACCCCAAACACTTTTGCTGCCCTTTGCAGTGCTAACCCTGCCCTTCTCTGACCTGTGCTCCATCCCTGTAGCTTTGCCTTTTTCAGAATGTCACATAAATGGAATCTTACAGCATGTAACCTTTCCAAACAGGTGGCTGTCACTCGGTATTTATGATGTTTATTACTGCATGTTTTAGTAATTTTTTCCTTTTTATCTGTTCACCTGTTGGAGGACATTAGGACTGCTTCCAATTTCCGATGGTTGTGAATACACCAGCTGTAAACATTTGCGTATGGGCTTTGTGTTAACATGTTTTCATCTCTCTAGGGTAAATATTTAGGTGTGGGATTGCTGGGTCACATGGGAAGTCTGTTTAATTTTTTAAGAAACCGCATTCTTTTCCACACTGGCAGTTGCATTCCTATTGCTGTTCTCATGTATGAGAGCTTCATTTGCTCTCCTTGCCAGCTCTTGGCAATATCTGGCAATTGCCAGATATTGGCAATTCTAAAAAAAATTTAATTTTAGCTATTTTAATAGACTTGTAGTGCTTCTCATTGCAATTTTAATTTACATTTCTCCAATGGTGAATAACGTAGAACATTTTTTCATGTGCTTATTTGCCATCCATGTATCTTCTTTGGTGAAGTTTGTCTACCTGCAAGTTTTTGTTTTGTTTTGTTTTTGGTAAATTAGGTTATTTTCTTTTTAGTTTTTATATTCTTTATATATTCTGAATCTGTTGGGTATGTGGTTTGCAAATGTGTTCTCTTAGTCTGTGGCTTGTTT